TATGTAGCCAGCAGCCAGCGTGAACGGCTGTCCAGAAGCCGGCGACTGATGTGCCTCGCCTGGGAAGAGCGCAATGATGGTGCCAATTTGGGCCAGTGAAGCAACATCCTCCACAACTAGACTGAAGAACAAAACGACAGCAACTTGTCTGTTCCCCTTCCCCCAATTCCCCAGCACTGTTCCCATCCCCCTAGTTCCCCAATAAAAATCTAAAAAAAAAAAAACCACTGCATGAGTATAAATTTCTGGTAAAAACTTCAGCCCAATTTTATGAAATATAGTTGGAGATCTTAGTAGACTGCAAATTCAACACAAGGCAACAAGGTGATATGATTGCTGAAGAAACGTGAATAAAACCCTTTTCTACTATGACATACCTAGAATACATATCAAAGTAAGTAACCGCACTGCTGACCAGATAATACATTGAGGTATGGTGGCCACTTCTCAACTAAATACTTTAAAGGGCAGAGAAACCAGAGAATCTTCAGGTGACAGTATCATGTCAGCATGAAGATTGTTTGAGGGCCTGGGGAATATTTAGACTGAAGAAGATAAGACTTTCTTCAAATGAACAAATAATTGACATGGACAAATGAGAATCAATTCATTCCGCATTACGTTGTCATGAAGCTGGAATTATAGGACTCAGATTTGAGATTAACATAATGAAGAACTTCATAACATCTAGATGAGTCCCGTATTGGGGAAGTATATTTCATCTAGGGAATTTCGTGGTACTGAAAGAATTGAAGCACTAGATAACTGTGGAAGATTTTATGAAGAAATGTTGGCATTAGGTGGGAAGTTGGAGATGAGCTCTGGTGGACACTTGCTGTTCTGGGTACCCAATGAGTAATGCTCTATTTTGAGCTAATGAACCCTCAATTTTTAATGGTCCCAAACTTCTGAGCTTCACTCTCAGCCCATTTGCTTCTGATGATATCAGTGCTACTCCCACATTCCAGGGGTAGAATGAAAAAACTTAGGCTAAGCCAGAGTGGATTTCATTGCTATGCCCACAATGACTAATTCAGGGACGGAGGAGACATGACCTCAGTCAGACGGAAGAATGCTAGAAGACAAAAACTGCTGTTGATTTATCAGGGACCTAGACTATCTCTTCTGTGAGACTAGTATGATGATGGATTCTGAAGCTGTAAAGGGGAGAGGGAGATGAATCAGGGCCTGAGAATGGTGGCAACCAGGAGGAAATGTGTTAAAAAAACAATCGATGCTGGTGATGCTGTTTGGGCTACCACACTCTTGAAGTTTTCATTTATACAAACTAAGAAATGTCCTCTTTTCCTAAGCTAGTGTATTGTGTTTTCTCTCTTATTGGAAAGGTAAGAATCCCAAGTGATATGAGTTCTAAGATGCCTTTCCACTCCATGTGAAGAAATGATAAAAGATATAAAGGAAACAACTTTTAATGGCTAAAAATTGGGGGTAAAACCCATGGTTTAGTGAAGTGGGTATGTGAAGTGAGGATCATAGCAGAACCTCAACCATTGCTGAGATACATCAAAAAAGAAAAGCCAAAAAGCCAGCCTTTGACAGTGGTGGTATTTTAAGACAGAGACCCAGGAATAGCTGTTACTGAGCCAGGAGCTACCCAGCTCCTGCTGGGAGGCATTTAAACTTTAAAGAGCTCTAGCTGCCATGCTGCCCTAACACTCGGGCAGACAAGAGGCTCTTTAAAGTTTCATTACACCCTGCTGGTAATAGGCATTTCCCATTTCAGCTAGAAGAACCTTCTTAAAGTAGCCAAATTGAAGTAAGGGACAGAGAGGGAGGAAAATGGAAATCAAATTGAGAAAGGGAGTGACAATCATCTTTTGGGAGGTTAAGTGGGTTTCTTTTTTAATCATCATCATCATCATCATCATCATCATTTTGATTGCCATGCTTATTGAGCATGGTTACATAAAAGAGTAAGGGCTGATCAGAGCTATCTGGTAAGAATGAAGAGTAATAGTACTTATAACAACAGTTGATGTGATGATATCAAAAGAGCTTTGGGTACTAAGTATAATTAGAGATTATTATTAACCCCAAGTACCATCTGATACTTAAAGAATAATCACCTAAAAATTAGGTGATATAGAGTGCTTCTGATTTAGAGCAACCCTTGGCCTTATAGAACCCATAATTTTGTGAACACGAGAAATATCAGGATGAAAAAGATTCCAAGAAAAACGAATCCAGATTTCTCACTACTCTATCCAAGGAGCGGTAGCAACAAGAATGCAATTTCCACACACTCTCTAATTTCCATTGTCTCTTACCAGCACATCATAAATTTTATAGGAAGGTGCTTTTGCTTTGTACAATCCTTGGATTCCTAATGAGGGAGAAAAAAATCTATGTACTCCGTTTATTTTATATAATGTGACTTATGTATGTAGATAGGATGGTCACACATGGCTGTTCAAAGAACAGAGCCCACAAATCCAAATCTATTTTCCTAAAGAATAACTAACAGAGCTATCCACTTCTAATTCTCAAGAATAATAAGGCAGACAGTTGCTAAAAAGAGACTTGCCTCACAACCACGGATTGCAAAGGGTGCTGGGGGCCAACTGGCAACACAGCAGAGGCAGGAAGGAAGAGAAATAACAAATATTTTTACATTTCAAAGATAAAGAAGAAGAAAGAAGAAACAGATTTAATGAGTTAAATCAGTACAGCTGCTCTGAAGAAGTCTTGCATTTTTAACAACCCTTTGGTTGGTGCCATTTATCAGGGTAAACTCGCTGGGGCTTGGCAATGAAAGTGGAATCTATTTACACATGAACTGGTTATCTAGATGAAAGCTAGATGCCAGGAAAAAGCAGTTTTTCAGTTAAGCCTGCCATATAAGTCACAGAAAATGTTCTTACGTGGCTCTTGTCTCATAGTCTTGTGTCATCTCATACCATGAGCTGCCTTTTACTGATCCCTTTTCTATTAAACTATTCCAGCCTCTGCTGTTTACTTGAAATGAATATCACATTAAAATGGGAAATTGGACTTTGTCCAATTTAGCTTTAGCCAGCTGAAACAGGATCAATGGGAGAAAATGATGCTGCAATTTTCTTGTCTGGTAAAATGTGGCTAGAAATCCATGCAGAAAATATAGCAATATTCATTAAAATGAAGGATATGTTACAATGAATAGTAACAGTTTGCTTTTAAAAGCACTTGTTAAAATACCATTAGATGTTCAATAATGACCAAGACCATGTAACAGAGATGTATGAATAGGAATACTGAGTTCGATTGTTTGCTTTGAACTCTGACGTGATCATTGTCTCTGATTCCATTTTCAAGCATGACAACTGGAAAGGACAATTAAACAGTAACAAAGCTACCAATCTATTTTGAAATGCTGACTGAATTCCACCTTCAACTACGTAAAGAAAACTACATACATGTACATGTGATGTATACACATACAGAGCAGGTTTAGCATAAATTTAATGAGCAACTCTGAAAATGGAGGAAAAAAACAATTGAAAAATACATCTGTATATCTATATCTACATCTATATATACATATCTTCAATTTTTCCAACCCTATAGCTATATACTTGAAAGGAGAAGATGGATTATACTTAATTGATATTTTAAAATTTACTTCATATGTAAATTTGTGATAAAACAAATGAATAAATGGGTATTCATTATTCTGGATAATTAAAGTAAACTGCTAAATGCTGTAGCAAGCTTTTAAAAATACAATTATGTAAATGCATTTACAACCCTATAAAAGGCAGTATCTCAAAGTGGGTGAGCAGGCCAGCTCTGCAGTCAGATGGAAAGGAAAAAGAAGTCTGGCTTTCCCACTTGAAACTGGGACTTGGGGAAAAATACTTACCTTCTCTCGGTTTCTTCATCTGTAAAGTGTGAATGATGGTTACAAGAAAGGGGTGGGGTGGGAGAATGGGTGAAAAGTTGAAGGGGAATAGAGTCTATAATATTGTGATAAGTTTACGCAGTGACGGATGATTACTAGAATTAGTGGGGTGGTCACATTGTAAGGCATACAAATGTTGAAGCACTATACTGTACACCAGAACCAACAAAACCCATATAAGAGTGTATACCAATTATACTTAACTAAAAAAATAATAAATAAAAATAAAAAAGAAAAAGAAAAAGAAAAATGTGATGATGAAAATAATTTGAAAATCATTTTCAATAAACAGTACCTAACTGTTGTGAGATAATTTATGTGAACATTTAGAAGAGTGACAGGCCCACAGTCAACACTCAATAAATGTTAGACATTTTTACCAAAAATCCCTATAAGAAAGTAGAGGATTATAGAATGAAAGGTTGGAAAGAGAAATTCAGAGGGAACAGCAGGGGTATCGGGTGGTCCTAGTGTGATGAAGTCTCTGGCGCTCATGGAAAAAGCACATTTGAGTAATAAAACTCATCTATATGACAATGTGAAGGCCAAGGTACTGACTAGCTCTCCACATGTGGTGGCCCAACTGCTCCAAGCACAGTCCCCAGAAGGCTAGTAGCTATCACCACCCTGGAGCAGTCTGAAGTGGAGAAGAATGGCCTAGACTAGTCTGCACCCAGCACATGGAGATAAAGCGCTTTATTATAGTCAACTAATAACTTTCTTAGTTGATCATTTATCATGATACACTTCCTTTGAAGTCTGGAAATCCCTCAGCCAATTCCTTAGCTGCCTTTAATATTATTCTCCTTATGAATGTGAGGGTAGCCTGAAGGAGGAGGCAGCAAAATGGTGAGCAGGCAGAATCACAGATTGTTATTGCCTTCTTTTCCTATACTAGTTGGTAAAACGATTTTGTTGTAAAATGCACAAGACTTCCTCTCTGCTACTTGTCACCATCATACATTAAAAGAACAAATAACATTTTGCTCACCAAAATCAAGTTCAAAAGGCACCTTGATCGTTCTCTCACTACTACTTTTGGTTTAATGAAAAGCGATGCATGCTCTTTTTATTGACTCCTTGAAGGAAAAATAGTACTTACTTTCCATCCCAGACGTGGTCACCTCTGTGGAAAATCACCAGGTTATTCTTAGGGTCCAGAGCCACCCCAGAAACCTGGCCTGGTAGTAAGTATACTCCAGGCCAATCCAGTGCCTCTTCTACATGGAAATCTAAAAGATAAATCCATATATTTAGTATAAACAAGAAAACGATTATTGAGTATAATCTCATGAAGATTCACATTGGTTATAAGACACTCATGCAGTAATGTCACTAGATATGAAGACAAAATAAATCAATGCAGCCGTGCTCTACATATAATATACCACATGCACATGCCAAGTAGCTTCCTGAGCCATGACATAAAGTAAGCAGCTGTGAACTTCTTTGGGAATTACATGTTTTCTGTTCCTGCTGATAGGATGCCTATAAAACCAGCTTACCCTGAAGTCATTAAAGAGCAAATCTGAGACTACCTTCTTCTTAACAAGATGCTTATTTTAAATTACTATCTTTGGACAATATGGCAACATGTACGGCATTGTTTTAATACAAAGCTTTTAAATGTTGTCAATAAATACCAAGCATAGCCAGTAGGTCTGTCTGTCTGTCCCTCAGTTAACTCCTGTGTAAATTGTGGATATTCAACATACATTAGACACTACAATAAACTGTCACTAATTATCCTTTGTATGAAGGACTATATAAGAAAGATAGCAATCTCATTTTTCCTAATTTCCGTGTTCTTATAACACTGAACAGGAATGGAGAGACGCTCTCTTCTGCTGTTTATATTTTGCTGTTTCCTAACATAAAAGAAAGTAAAAATTACAGAAACTCTGTGACTAAATGACTCCCAAATCATTCTCATTTCTGATCAGAATACATTTATAGAATATACCTGGGCTCTTTTGTGTTAATCCCTTTTCTAAAGATGCTCACAAGGAAAGAGGTATGATGTATGGAGTAGCTCCACTAGCTGAGGATACAAAGTTATGAAGATACTATGAAATCGGTTCTATTGGTGTTAATATTTCTTTCTCTCTCAAATGCTTCAATAGAGATGCTGAGAAGTAGAAAATAAGCAATTCAAGTCTCATTTATCCTCCTCACCCTCTGGAGGACGTGGCAATGCGCAGTAAAATCTCAAAGATAGGCATTAAAGATGAGGACAGAAGGGAAGCACGGGGTTTGTTCAGCTAGCTTCTGAAAACTTTCAGAGGATGCTGCTGTGAGAAGAAACACCTTAAAATAATTCTCTCAACTAGACAAAAAGAAATAGTCCTTTTCCGCTCAAAATGCTTTTACTTTCGCACATTTAATTATTCTCTTGAATAAAAATGAACAAAACTGCAAAGACAATAGGATGCTAGAGCAGCTCTGCTCACAACCTTTGCTGAAGTGTCTTGGGCAAATGTTCCCTAAGTGTACTGTCTGTGTGAGGCATGATGCTAGATTCTGGGAACACAAAGAGCAAACATTGTTTTTGGCCTTGAGGAACTGACAGGATAAAATGAGAAAAGGCAGAAACCAAACACTTGTGACACAAAGTAGGGCGGGAACACAGGAGAGGCTTGCCTGGAAGAGGGCAAGGTTAAGGTCAGGCCTGGGAGGTTTCCCAGAGGAAGAAACATGTGTGTTTGCACTTAAGGGTAAGTGGGGGTTCACTGAGTATAGAAGTGGGCAGAGAATACTTAGGTCAGAAAGATCAAAAGAGAGGAAATGTGCCTCAAGATGAAGTAATAGGGAAAGGACACTTGTGTATGTTAGGAAGGGGAAAGGTAGGGGGAAGCAGGCTTATCAGACCCCGAGATCTAGTTTAGACTGGAAAATGTATTGTGTACCACATGAAGGAGTATGGATTTAAAAATGAATGAAGGTAGTTCTGAGCTGTCTGACTCTATACCATGATTAATTTTGAGGCATGCTGCACGGACTTTACTAGTAGCAGTAAAGCACAGAGTCTGGGAATAATTTACTTTTGAAATATGTTAGGGCACATGAGAATGGCATTCTCACTCACGTGCGCTTTGATACGCCTTCCTGAGTTGGAGAGAAACGGGGCAGAGTTACAGCTGGCATTTCTAAATTTGCAAACAGCTCTGGGCAGAGCAGTGGATGTGAATGGGGCTGCTAAGATGAATAGCATTCATCATCGATTACACATGGCATACTAGGGAAAAAAAGGACACAAATTGTAGCTACAGGCGACTGGGAGCCACTGAAGGTTTTTAAGCATGGGGTGACATAATTAAAACTGTGTTTATGAAAGTAAACTCTGGAAAATAGGCATACGCATAATAATTCAAGATGTCTAGATGGATCAGCAGATGGATAAATCATACCCCAAAGAAAATGTTTTAAATTATTTTAAAGTTGCTTGAATCTCAGGTTGAACTTCATTCATTCTCATCTCTGTTATAGCCTGTCCTCTTGTTGGTCATCATTCTATGCTCATTCACCAGCTCCTGAAGATTCTGGGTGGGCTCCAAGAGTACCTCGAACCTCAGGCCAATATAGATATTTAATTGCCTTCATCAGATTCTCAGAGCCCAGAACCACTACAACTAGATGAAATTTCTTGAAGGCAGGGATCATGCCATATTCACCATTTTGCCACCAGGTCTCGCACAGGGCCTGGCCCACTGTAATGGCCTGATAAATGCACCGACCTGAACTCTATCTGTGCTCTTCGTCTTTCTTGTTTATGTTATCAACTAGTATTTAAATAGCCTCATAATCTTCTAATTCACTGTACTACCGCTTTTTACCCTTAGCTCTGTACTGAAGATGTTGTGAAGAGACTCAATAAAAAATGCTAATTAGCTGATCACTTTCCTTAACAATAACAAATATTATGGCTTCTGGAACCCTTCTATTCAGTGGCCCACCAAGAGGTACTGGGAGCTAGGTGCTCATGAAGGCGCAGAGATACTAATTCTGATAGAAAATATGCAATGTCCAAAATTGATATTTTCTGGGATCAAATGTGATGGTCACAAAATATTGGCAGTGCTGTGTAAAGAACATGAGCCTATCTATGAGTGATCCCAATATCATCGATCCTAGATTGGTAAGCACTTAAAAGTCTGCAAAAAGCACTGACTAATATTAGGTTGTTAACAACTGTTTCTCATGCATAAGAATCCTTTTTGGTTGCAAATTTTCAAGAAGGAAACCCAATGTAAATTTGTAGAACACATTTATTAAAACATACTTTTTGTGAATTTTCAAAAGAGCAAAGGCGGTGTGTAAGGAGGTATCTAAGAGGGCCAACACTGAGCAAACTGGCTATTTTAATAGTGAGTAAACATCAACGAGGGCTATTTTGTGCATGGCAAGGGTGTTTGGAGAAAATATATTATTTTAAATTTCATTAAATATATAATTGCATATTTATTAAGATTACCTAGCCAAGATCTCAAAACCTTCAGGACCTAGGTCTCTGTGTTAACCAGAAATTCTAAGACAAATTCTAAGGAACGCTGAGTTCATGTTCTCGTTTGTGAACATCAGTTCACTTAATTGATGTTTTTGCTTCCAGTGTCAACATCTTTTTCATTATTAGGTAGTAAAAGGGTGTTTGTTTTAAGATTAAATGATCAAGAATCAAAGCAGTCATTTAGGAGTAGTGGTGTATGTATATGGAATTAATACTAATGTTTTTCCCCATCCACCTCTACATGGGAATCATAGAATGCTAGAACATACTAGCTCATTCTACGTCATATTATCATTTCATAGGAAATGAACTGTTGGCGTGGGCCAGGCTTCAGGCATCAATATCGAGGATGGTTATTTTCTAATAATTATCTATTAATAATAATCATTTTCCCAATAAAGAAAAATCTCAAGTCCTTACTAAAGAAATTGTATGATAAAATAAATTTGGGTTCTAACTTAAACTTTACATTATCAACCATGGAGAAGTTATTATAAAATTCTGAGTTCAGAATTCTCAACTTTTATTTAAAAAGTGACTCAGTACATGATTAGTTAATTCTGTAGATTTACAGTTTTAATTTGAAAATAAAATGCGGAGTTTTTTACGCATGACCTTGGGCAAGCTATTATCAACTCCAAGTGTCAGCTGCTCTAAATTCAAATGTCAAATAACAGTATTATTTCGAAAGAACCCTTGCTATAAATGCAGGTAAATGTGCAGCCTCATATTCCACCACATATTTAGAAAAAATGTTACTACTTTCAGAAAAAAATGAAATGTTATCATTAAAATTGTATCAATAAATCACTAAAAGGTTTAATGAATTATACCTTTCCAAGAAAGAGATTAATGCTAGTGATCAATGCTGCTTTCATAAGAAATTATTAAGAAGCATTTAAAAGGGCATTCATTTATCTGTGCTACATAAGGACTAGTAGATAAAGTTGAGAAAAAATATTATTTTAAGCCCAGAACTATGACTTAACATCAGTATAACTAGCTTCTTTATATTGGGTTGTTGGAAAAGTCATGACGCATTTTTGCAACGAAAAACATAGAAAAAATATGTCATGATTTTTCCAAGAACCCAATATTTAATCTTAAGGGAAAAATCCAGATGAAATCACTTGACGACGATCACAACAACAAGAACAAAAGATAGTGGTTGTTTTTTCTACACTTGCAAATTCCCATCTGGTGAGAAAAAGATGCCTTATTTTGGTCAGGGGTTGTTATTCATCAGAAGTGCCAGCAATAACTATAATTAACTCAAACTATAGGAGAAATATTTATACCCACTTCAGGAAGAAAACAAGAATTAATTATAATGTTTCATTTAGTGGGAGTGAAGTGAGGAAGAGAATTAGGACATAACTAGGGGCTCAAAAACATTAGCAGGATTTCTTTTCTTTTTAAATATAATTGCAAATGAGATCATCTAGGTCAATTTGTTTGGAGAGTGACTGAGAAAGCATGACCAAAGATAATACACAACTAACTAAAGTTATTATGATTGTAGACAATGGGATGAATGGAAAAAAACAATCATCCTCCTGTCTATCTTTCTATCATCTATCTATCTATGTATTATTTTTATTTTATTGTGAGAGGCAGAATAACAAAAGTGATTAAAAACCAAGACCTGGAGCAAGTCTACCTGACTTTAAATCTTGGCTCCTTGAGCTGTGGCCCTTTCTTCCTCTCTAGATGGGTTTATAAATAGGGTTCTTGTTACGAGGATGAAACGAGTTAATGCATCTAAACATTTAGCCTGGTTCATCGTAAGGGCTATGTGTTTGTTTTTATTGTCATCCCTCCCCTCCAGAGATGAAAATTCATCCAACCGAATGCCTTATTTTACCCTGGGAATACTGTAAAACTTAAACCTAGAGGTGAACATATGACTGAAATATGTTAAAAGGATAGACTATGAGTCAAGTAAAAGTTGTCTATAGAAATCAGGTAAAATCTAAATGTATCATAGCATATTTAGGGACTCTGTGAGCTCTCTTATCTGATGGGAAAGCATCACACAAATAGTGATGCATTTTTAGATGTCCAGTGGTATGCAATCAGGCATATGCTACCAAATAGTAGTCCAGTCAAATTTGCCTGTGAGAATAGCTACCGTAGTTTTAAATTTATTGTTCAATGAGTCCAGTTTCTGGAAGACAACTAGAATGAAGACACTTAACATTTTGTTTTTACTCCATTAATGCTGTCTCAATATACATACCAAACTAATGGTGGAAACCAAACTACGTTATGTGTAAAAAGGAGTGCAATTTACTTATCAGCTTAACAAGTTGAATATTTTCACACTGTACATCATAGATCACAGGCAAATATCAAGGCAGATCAATATAAGTGATCAGAGATTTGAAAAGGTAGAAACTCCCATTATGATAGAACACTGCCAAGTCATTTTCATAATTTATCAAATTAGAGTGCCAAATCTTGCAGCTTTCCTGCATATTGCAAGACAATTTGTTCATAGATGCTGCTTAAGTTAAAGCAATTACTATTTTATTCTACTACTTTGGTGTTTAATTTTTGAAATTTTCATCCAACATGACCTTAATGGTAGCAATAATAATCATAATGATTGTTAATGCATTGTAACATTTATTAAATGTTTTCTATGTGCCAGAAACTGTTCAAAGCACTTTCCATGTATTAGCTGCTGAGGAACCACATAAGTGGTGTAGCTGGGACTCAAAGCCAGGCAGTCAGGCTCAAGAGTGTGAAGTGTTCTACATCACACTGCCTCCATGAAGTGGTTTTCAAATTTTATTTTAGACAAATGAAGAACTGCTCTAGGGCAACCTGTATTGTGCCCTATTGTGCCCATGCGTGCATGTCTGGCGGGGAGGCTGTGACCACTACTTCCCACTGGAGGGATGTCCCATCCAACCACAGCTGGAAAACCTTCAGTCTAGTCTAGCCTAGCCTGTTTGGGAATTTTCTCTATTTCTAACGCTGTTTTCACAACTGTTACCACAACTGTTCAGAACCTACTCTGAACCTCACCAAAAGTCACAAAGACAAGACGTAAAGAGGTGCTGTTTGCGGGTGGTTGCACTCTTAGAGACACACTGAAGACACAGTGCATAACCATCTCTTCCAAGCAATGCTAAGGACTTCCTCAGCTCTGCAAAGCCGGAAGGTGTCATTCTGTTTTGCTCTTAATGTAGCTTGGTGCCCACTGACACTCAACTCATAATGAGGTGGAAAACTCAACTTTAAAGGCAGTTGCCAGTGTGTGGAACCAACTGAAATTCAGACTAATCTGAAGATCTACAAAACCGTATTGATTTTGAAACATTCAGGAAGTCCTGGGCCTACATACACAGTCAAATCCAATTTTTGAGCTGACCAGTAATTTCACCTTTGAACCCTCAAATCAGCTCGGTGGGATCCATCACCACATTGCAGTTCCAAAATCTGGGAGGGCTGACGAAATATAAAGTGCTGCTTCTATAAATGCCCCTATGTTAGACTGTGCTGGTGCCATGACCTGGGGACATGAGAAAAGGGTCCTGAGTGTAAGTCTCGGCTTCTAAGCAGTGAGGGTCCAGAGTCCAGGGAAGTGTATCTGAACTGGGCAAGCAAGTTATTCCTCTTTGATTGAGCACAGCTGTACTGCCATGTAAAGAACTAGAAGGCACACATTAGAAGTCTAATGTCCAAGTTTTAAATTCAGACTCTGTGACCTCATTCAAATGGGTTAACTTTCCCTAGGCTTCCGTGTATTCGCTTGAAAATAATTTGTATCAAAGACACAGGAAATGAGTATGAGCTATAATATTCAGCAACACAATAGCCTTACATTTTTGTCTTAGTAATACTCTCCTATGAAAAGCTACTTTCTTCTTTGCAGCTAATATAATTCTTTATAGCAAATTAGGCACTTAGGGAGACAGTTAATTCCTCTGGACCATTAGGGTCCCATTCTCAGCTTTGCCTGGAGTAAAGAAAGGGTATGAGAGAAACAATGGAAGATTATCCATCAAATTTATTTCCCTTCCTCATGCCCTGGGGAATATACATGAATTAGACTACTGATATATTTTATTAGGACATTACATGCTAATGACTGCCTACATTTTTTGCAATTGAAAGCTTCCTGAGGATAGGTCTTTCACTGGCTTATACAAAGGAATAAGACATCTTCAGTTAGATATTATATTGTGTTATATAGATATTACAGTGAGAAAGAATTGAAAAGCAAAGGACTTTTAGAAATAGCTTACCTAAATATGAGTTTTGGTATCCTGCATTTAATTTTTAAAAAGTTTTTGAGTCAGAGTGGGGAAATAACACTAAAATAAATCATTTCACAAGGGAATACCTGCGCATTTCCTTTCTATAATTAGGATTGGTGCTGTATGTTACTAGTCTATGAAACTCGTTGTTTTATGGACTTCACTGATATTCACCTACATATTTATAATGAAAGGAAACTTCGTGAACCAGGTTCGGGAGAAACATTTTTCTCCTGGGCACTGCCATTTTGATCACCCTGGAAGGTACGAAGAGATTTTGGCAAGTAAAAGTATTTCGGGTATTTTAAGCACTTCTTTCTTAGAAAAACTAAGCAGGTTTCAGGAAGACAATGTCTTAAGTCAAAACTATGATTTTTACATTGACACTTATGATACCTATAAAAGTCCGTGATGTTATTTCAAATCCAAGAGTAACAAATAAGCACAGGTCATGGAATAAAGCATGCTGTAACTTAACATTTCACACTTGAATAGAATTGTTTTCTCGCCGAAGAGGACCTTTTGTCTTTTACATTTCCATGTTGTTTGGGTTATAATTTACTGTCCTTAATATAAAGGTTCAGGCAGACACCCCAGTCTGTTTATGAAATGGATAGGGGCTTGATCCACTGCCAATTTCTAGGCACCATACTCAGAGATGTAATCCATTGTTCTATGGTAGGATTCTGGGGTCTAGGCTTTTCATAAGCACCCTAGATTCCATTGCAAGGGGGTCCAGGGACCAATTCTTGAGAAACACAGTTTATTAGGTAAATTTAGAATGAGTTAGAGCAGGGCTAGTGCTGTTTAAATACAAAGAGATAAAGATCTGGGTTCCAGTTAACATCTCATAGAGCCCATTAGGCCATTCCCATTGGACAATGCTAGAAACGTCCATGTGAGCAAAAGGCACTGCATGCTAATTTTTTTCAATCATAAATAAAAATCAGCTGGGTGTTGAATAATTTATGGCTTCCTGCAAAGCCGTATTTGAAAACATCAAGCTGGCAGCCTGTGCCATTCCAGCCCACGCATGGACAGCTGCCATGCACGAATATCTGTTACTTTTTTGGAGGTTATCACCACATGCTGTATTCGCTGGCTTTCCACATTAGCAAGTAACATGAAACACAATCTATATCACAGAGGCCACAACACAATTAAAGACAAAGAGGAGGCATCCATTGCTTGCTGGTGCAGAAACCTGAAGGGAATAAGGTATTGTCCTCTAATTATGGAAGCCAATCATGGTTAGAAATAAAGATTAATCTGATAGTTACTCACTTGCTGGAGGTCCCTTCAGAAATAACTACTCAACTTTCCAATTAAGATAGTAATTGATAATGGGACTTAAGAGATCAAAGTCATAAACATGGCTACATTTCAGAAGTCGACTGGATGAGAATGTTCCAAGTATAAGATTCCTTTGGGAAGAATTTAAATACAATAATACCTTGGTTTGTGAGCATAATTCATTCCGGAAACAAACTACTCGTATTGCAAGACATCGCTCGTTTACCAAGTTAAAATGTATTAGCAATGTTTGCTTACCTTGAGGAACACTTGCAAACCATGTTACTCGCAATCCAAGGTTTTACTGTACCTTAAAAGGTAGTGTATAAGCATTTCATAACCTGGGACTTTACATATCATGTTTTAAATGTTCAGTTTCTTTCCATGATGCAAAATGGAGAATGTTGATATAATAAGAATTTGTTACCATGAATTTCATATGTTATCGTCCCCAAAAGGGTGCAAATAATTTTGGTCCTGGTATTTCTGGCTCACCAATTGAATGGAAACTGAATTTATGTAGCATTGGACCAAAACAAAAAGAAATACTCCTTAATCAAATATAATATCTGATTAACCCAAATCTGAGTAATACTTTTTCTAAGGATAAGTCCTTTTTATTGATGAGTTTTTCTCACCCAATCATTTTTTTATTCCCTTCAGATTTTGCTAATGTGGATTGCAGCATTTCACATATTATTCTTTTTTTTTTTTAAAAAGCCCTAAACGCACCTCCTGTGTGTTCTGGTTCCCAGGTGCCTTCACCAGGTACGGGCTGCTGTAATGAGAAACCTCTGCTCTCTGCTGGCCTCAGAGTGGATTCTAGTCTGTGAAATTTGTGAATTCTGTCTCTGACAAGAATAGCATTGCCCCTCTCCTCATGTTCTGCACCCTCTCGCGTGTCAGATCGACCAAGGTCCTTCTTTTGGACTACGTTTGCAATCTCAGCTACCAGGTATGACTCTGATTCTGCCTTTTCTGCAGGGTTATATTTATGCACATGAACAACATCTTCCCTTTCTCCTAGCAGCTTGGAAAGCAGTGAATAGAAATCACCTGTGAAAAAAAGAGAAGAGATAAGGGATGGGGGGTTGATAAGATTACAACATTTATAAAACTTTGTGCCTTAAACGTAAGTGAGAGAGATGATTGCTCTCTAACTTTCAGGCATGAAGAAAAAAGAAGAGATGATTTTCCACAAAATAAAAAAAATAATACGCTTCGCATTTCATTTGATATACCACTTATTTGTTTCTGTTATCTCGGGAGCCAACCACACTAGATAACCTCTCTTAGCATATTAGTAGAAACACCATAATGCATATATGATTGATTGTATGGCCTGTTTCCATACATAGTTTTCATAGTATAGTTGGATTGATTTGGAAGTTAAGAGTTCATCAGATTTCTAAAATAAAATATTGTCACCAACAACATCAAAAAACAGCTATCTTTACAGGCAACCTTTGAAGTTGTCTTTAAAAGCTTATTAAAGTGTAATCCAGAAGAAATTAAATATATATTTTTGAGCAGGTGCTATAAAACACAAGAAATCTAACAGGTATGAATCAACCTGGCAATTGGAAAACCAAAGTTTTATTTTTATTTTGTTAGCAGTGATACTGTAAATAGCTCCAGTTGTTCACTTTAAACAAAAAAAGGAAGAAATTCCAGAAAAATAATTTTGTGAGAATACTTTTAAAATTAGTTTGAAACAAAAGAGAAGATTTTAACAAACTGATATAATTGGAATGATTCATCACTAAAATGTATTTCCTGTCTTCCTATACTAAGGAGTAAACTTGGATATGATAATCTAATTCCATGAAAATAAATTATTTATAAAATATTATGACAGATATAAAATATGACTATGGAAAGTTCACGAAGCATTTTAATCCTCATCATTTACATCTATAGCTTCAAATTTATTTATGTCAAGTGTGTGAGTGGGAAACATATGAACGTTCTAGATGGAAACGCAAATCTGTTTTCCTAAACCAAACCCAAAGATAAGCCACAGCTCTTCCTTTTCCTTACCCTGTTCTAAGTGATGCTAATAAAATTACTATGACTATGGAGTCCTATTGCTTGTTTTAATTACATTTACAACACCATCAGATAACATTTATAAAATCTTTCTTACTATCACTGAGAAATGAAAATAATTACTGGTTTAACCATGATACAATCTACTACAGAATATAATATTAGAAATTGGTGCAAGGGGATATGAAGCCTTTCCAAAATGATGCTAAGAGATCCTGTCATGTTTACAAATAGCCTTGGTTTAATGCTTCACAATAGGTTTTCAGTTCTTGCCCATGAAAGCTGCTTATCCCAGGTGAAATCTTCAATCAGAAAGTAATTACCAAATAATAGAGCCAATCTCAGTAAAATGAACAAAGCAAATTACCATCCAACCAGATCTGTTAGACTACAGTGGCATTCTGCCTCACAGAAGAGAAATTAATCCACTACTACTAAACTCTCCGGGCCCATACACTAAATAGAAATAGTTTAATGTGCTGTTGTACAATGAAACATTGTATATAGAAAATAAAATGCAAGATTATTTTAGGGACAGAGAAATGACATAATTTCAAAACTTGAATCACTGTCATTGGGCTAATACTGACGGAGGTACACAGGCTCAGACCTCTGCATAAAGTCACTCAGGTTTGTCAGTAAAAACCTAAAAGCTGTGATGAATACCAAATGCAGAGCACTCAGTTCCTCTGAAACTATCACTTACAATTATTATTGAGAAAACAAAAATTGAGCAATGTAAGGCCTGGCTGCAGAGATATTGCACTGACCTTGTAAAAACATAGCTTCAGAGCTGCATCTCTGGAAATAGCTCATTACATGGGAGCATCTGAGACCATTAGATGGCTATCTCTTACATTCCTATACAGAAACTAGAAAGACCTTTTTTTTTTCTCTTCTGGTGTGCAAAATATATGGAATCATGAAATGTTAGTCATTTTTATTAGTCATATTAAGATCCTGATTTAGGGAATATATCTAACTTTGAGTCTAACAGGTAGAGTAGAATATAAACGGAGGAAGTTTTGTGGTATCTACCCCAATCTGACTTCCCTCTCAATATTCCATTCTTTCTTTTCACTTATGTTACAGCCATATTGGATTTTCGGTTCCTTGAATATCAACTCTGAGACGTTGTTTCTCCTTCCAGGGACATTCTCACCCCAGTAATCAACTAGCTCCTCAACCTTCAGATCTTCCTCAGGCGTCACTTATATCCAAGAAGCCTTTCTTAGAGCTCTCTGCTATGTGCCCCGATAGCACTGTGGTCTCTTTCTGTACTGTTAGTGCCCAATGTCTGGTCTGTACTTCACAGGTTTGAATCCAACCCTGGTGCTTAGCAAGCTATTCTGTGCCTTTAGGCAGGCTATTAAGCCTTATAAAGATAATGATAACTGCCTTTAAGGATTACTTGGTGGATTTAAAGATCGCTAAATGTAAAATGCCCAGCCCGATGTATATCATAAAGTAGGTATTACTAAATTGTAGCTCTTATAATTACCAAGAAAAGGCATAAACTCTAGTGGCAACATGCATCTGCTTTATGCTACTGTTCACCTAAATTTAAAAAAATCAGTTCTTATTTCATATTCAAGAATTGGGATTTTCATAACGGAGAAAAAACTAAGTTTACAGCCCTCTATGTTCTTAACAAGTCACTATGGCTGCTGTAGCGTTTTTTTCTTTAGCTTTGTCAGGAGAGATTGTAGCTGCACTTTTTCTCTTTTTATGTTTAGTCTATTTTTGGAGAAAGAACTATCCTACTCCAGTGTTCTGGGTTGCCAGCCCTCCCCACACTCCCTCGAGCCTTTCCTGTCTGCTTTCTTTTCTTTACAACTTCTTTGCCAAAGTCTTGCCTCATACGCTATAAACACACGCACTTTGCGCTTATCTTGAGTGACTGCAGAGGTGAGGAGAGACCCTCCTCTGACACAGTGTGTCTTTCAAGCTTTTTCATCTTCCCTCTTCTTTTAACAAGTTCCAACATGGCCTAAGATAGCTTTCTGTGATAATGGAAATATTCTGTATCTGCTCTCCCCAACATGGTAGTCACTAGACATATGAGGCTATTGAGTACTTGTAATGTGGCTAGTGTGGCGGAGGAACTTAATTTTTAATTTTACTTACTTTTAATAAATCTATATTTGAACTGAAATAGCCCCATGTGGCTAGTGTCTGTCATATTGTACAGCGCAGGGCTGTGGGCTGCTGCTATATCCTTCCTCACATCATCTTCCTTCCCTAAATCAAAGGCATCTGTTTCCACTTCTTACCTCACTCCTGTATGATCTGTGCATGAGTTCCTTAAGAGCACCTAGTTGCCAAAGCCAAAAGACTCTTCATCTTGACCTACTTGTGGCATGTAGCACTGTCAAAACTCCCTTCCGAAACGCTCTCCTTATAACATTGTTCTTTCCAGATCTTCTCTGAGTTTACTCTTTGACTGAACAAATTTCTTTTTGTCCTATCCTGGCTTGTCTTCTTTTCATGAACATAAAATTCCAGTAAACTAGTCAATATATACATAACATAGTGTGATGTGCACAAAACTGGCCTAAAGAACAGTAATTGCTTTTTTTTTTTTGGTTTGAGAAAGTAGAAAAGTTTTCTGTTTTCTTCAGTACTTTTCACTTAGCACTGGCAATATACTTTACATGTATTACTGAATTCTATTAAGATGTTCTAAAAAATGTTTTTTGTACATTTAAATGATCTGGGAAAGGATAAGTAGCAAGGTATAAATGTGATTTTATATAAAAAATGAAAACCTCTCATTTCTTTTCATACTTCTAGTGATTAATACTGTTCTTATCATAGCAGAGCCTCAATAAATGATTCTGGAATAAATAATTATTTGTTAAAGAGTCACCCCTAGTTTCTGTATCAGTAGAGACAAAAATATTTCTTTGATGATTTTAGGCTGCAGTGAGTTTCATTTCTGTCTTTTTCTCACTCAAATTTTGAATCTTATCTTATGAAATACAGAAATGCTCTAGGTCTTTTAAGTAATTTGGATGAGTGGGTTTGGTATTAGGAAAACACTACTGTGGTAGTAGTTAACGTGTCAGGAAAAGGAACGCAGCACAGTACAAGAGAATCTAAAACATGACCAATTAAACTCCAAATTTGTAAGTTGTGGGCTAGCATTAACTCCTTCATGCCTCAACGGACATTTCTCTGTTCAGTAGGGATCACTCCCAATTCCTTTCTACCAGCATGAAAATTTCTCTGGTTCACTTTCAGGAACATAGTGAGATCAAACTAAAATAGATGGGAACATACATTGAAAAAATTGCCCTATGAGATGTGGAGTATAGCATAAGGAAGATAGTCAATGGTATTGTAACAGCTATATACGATGTTAGAGAGGTAGTAGCTTGGGGAAGGGGAGTTATCACTTTATGAGGGGTGTGAATGTCTAACTATTATGTTGCTTTGTATACCTGAAACTAATTTTTTAAAAAGTGAAAAAAAAAATTTCCCCATGAGTTGTTGCTGGTTTTCTTTTGTTTTTTGTTTTTTTCATAAAATGCTCTAAAATTGGATGAAAAAAGTATCACTACTTTTAGACAGCATAAAATCTGAATTGTGGTGGGCATTTTTATTTTAAAACTGATCAAGAACCTCTTGGTAATCTTTCAGAATGTAAACTCCCTTTGCCCACACAAATCACTAGTACTTCATTACCTAAAACCAACAGCTCTTGCTACTGCTTATTGCTCTGCCATTTCTATGGTACAAAGAGAGTAAGTAGGGTGTTCATCAGCAATTTAACCACTGACAAAACATGCCAAGCAGCCAAGCTAACGAGATGACAACCTTGGAACACAACTGATTGATTAATGAGAGGGATCGGAGGAATGGAGAAATAAAAGCATTTCTTTTTAGATTTTAATGTTTTGGTTTATGACTCAGTCATAGCTGAGCTTCCCTTCTGGTTAAAGTCTATTTTTGTTTATTGACTGATTACTTCCTACTAACCCACAACATTTATCCTACAGCCTCAG